GGTGGAACAGTGACAGGTGGAACAGTGACAGGTGGAACAGTGACAGGAATCCCAGCGATTCTGGAAATCAGGGAAAACCTGGAAAATTATGTTCACATTTTCCAGATGGAGAAAATCAGGGAATTTGAACACTGACCTGATTGAAAGACGATGATTTTGACATGTTCATGTATTATTACTAGTGTTCTAGTATGATTGAGTGCATGTTCTGCTTCTATAGTGTACATTGTGTTTGTATCCTTACTGATTGGCTATGGTAGCTTTTTAATATCTGATGTTATACATTATAATTATTAGGGATGATTCTCTTGTGCACGCACCGTAGGCCACAGTATACTGACTGTCATCTCTGAATGACATTGACTAAAATATTTCCTGGAATTTCAGGATTTACTTTGGGAGAAATCAGGGAAAACTTAGGTAATTTTGTTCTTATGAAATGTTTGGAACCCTGAATGGAGCTGCAAGATGTAGAAGTATTTAAGTTGGATGGTGTTAAGTACCAGGGGTCAATCATCTAAAGCAATCATCAGCGCATGAGGAAGGTGAAAAAGAGAGGGACGGTTGGCATGTACAGAGGTACAATGAGTAAATTAAACTGATAAGAACAGATACTACACTTCGTCTTAGTCAAAAGGCTGAGAAGTGATTGACAATGAGTAAATTAGGCAAATGATGCTGAATATGGAGCTGCCATGGAGAAGAAGAGGACCACAGAGAGCGATCATGGATGTATTGACAAAGGATCTGCAGAGGAGGAGGATGGAGGTGATCTGCTGTAGTGACCCCTAAAGGGAGCAATAAAAGCGTTTTTTTGAACCTGTGTAAAAATATCAGGATGTAACTTTTTTTTTCAATTGTTCCTCTGTCTAGGCGAGTACATCAAGAACTGGCGACCACGCTACTTCCTGCTAAAGACAGACGGTTCTTTTATTGGTTACAAGGACAAACCTCAGGACTCAGACCTGGCTTATCCGCTCAACAACTTTTCTGTAGCAAGTACGACACAAGCAACATCCCACCTCTCACTGCTCCTGATGTGTGATCTTTGTGTAACACGTCACATCTCTCTGTGGTACTTTCAGAATGTCAGCTGATGAAGACTGAACGACCCAAACCAAACACCTTCATCATCCGCTGTCTGCAGTGGACCACCGTCATCGAGAGGACTTTTCATGTCGACACTCCCGATGAGAGGTGAGCCTTCATTTCTTTGTAATATAAATTGAAATCTCTCTTCTGGGTTTGTCTTTACTCATCAAAATATTAATAGCAGAGCCAGAAAGTGTTGACTTCTTAAATAAAAAATTATTATCAAAAGTGCTAAAATGCACAAGCTGTGCCACTAGGTGGCAAGGACGTCCTAATTACGTATCCATCCATTTTCTTTTGCTCACTTTTTCAATTTTTGGGTCACAGGGAGCTGCTGCCATGTCCAGCAGTCACTGTTTGAGAGACGGAGGACACCCTTGACAGGTCTCTAGTCCATCACAGGGACACCTGGATGGGTCTCTAGTCCATCACAGGGACACGTGGAGACAAACGAGACAACAGTCACATTCTCACTCACACCTAGGGACAATGTAGATATACCAGTGAACCTAACATGCATTTTTTTGGTCTGTGTGAGGAAACCGGAGAATCCAGAGAAAATGTGCATGGAGAGAACATTCAACCTTTATTTCTACAGGTTAGTCTTATTGAGCCTACAAGAGAGACCTGATTTAAACAAAGTTTAAATGACCGCAAATTTAAATGACCGCAGTAGACACCAATGACAACAGTCATAACGTCAAACATTGATATACTGTATGTCAATATGGCCTGTGTTGTCTGTGTGCCCAGGAGTGAGGCGTTATGATGACATGGTGGTCTTCCCTATTCGCTTTCTTAAAACACAAGAAAATGCAACATTTCCAAACTCGATAACTAAAAGTTTTCAGTAATTGTGATTAGAAATTTTTACTCCTCCTTGAATCACCACCTTATCGTGGTTGAGGAGTTTGTGCGCCTGAATGATCTTAGGAGCTATGCTGTTGGGGGCAATTAATTGCCCTATGTAGGGTCTCCGAAGGCAGATTAGTCCTAAGTGACAGGTAAGACAAAAAGTGATTCAGAAGATTTTTATGGGCAAAACAAAACAAGGAACTCGGTGTCCCTTGCCCGGACGTGGGTTACCGGGGCCCCATCCTGGAGCCAGGCCTGGGGGAGGGGCTCATTGGCGAGTGCCTGGTGACTGGGTCTCTACTCATGGGGCCTGGTCGAGCTCAGCCTGAAGGAGCAGCATGGGTTTGCCTTCCTGTGGACCCACCATCTGCAGGAAGGGCCATAAAAATCAGGTGCATGATGCTGTGGGCAGTGGCTGAAGGCGGGGACCTTGGCGCTCTGACCCTGGCTTAACAAAGCTGGCTCTTGGGACATGGAATGTAACCTCTCTGGCAGGGAAGGAGCCTGAGCTTGTGCGCAAGGTTGAGAGGTACCAACTAGATATAGTTGGGCTCACCTCAATGCACAGCATGGGCTCTGGAACTGATCTCCTTGAGAGGGGCTGGACCTTATTCCACTCTGGAGTTGTCCATGGTGAGAGGCGTCGAGCTGGTGTGGGTCTACTTGTAACCCCCCGACTTGGTTCCTGTGTGTTGGACTTTCCCCCGGTAGATGAGAGGGTGGCTTCTCTTTGCCTTTGGGTGGGGGGATGGGCTCTGACTGTTGCTTGTGCCTATGTGCCCAACTACAGTTCAGAGTATCTGGCCTTCTTGGAGTCCTTGGCAGGGGTGCTGGAAGGTGTGCCAGCTGGGGACTCCTTTATTCTGCTGGGGGACTTCAATGCCCACGTGGGTAATGACAGTGTGACCTGGAGGTGCGCGATTGGGAGGAACTTGGAAGAACTTGATTGGGAGCCGATTTAATCCCTAGCGGTGTTCTGTTGTTGAACTTCTGTGGTCGTTATAGTTTGTCCATCACAAACACCATGTTAAAACATAAGGGTGTCCATAAGTGAACTTGGCACCAGGACGCCCTAGATCATAGATAGATGATTGACTTCATAGTCATGTCATCTGATTTGCGGCCGTTTGTTTTGGACACTCGGGTGAAGAGAGGAGCTGAGCTGTCAACTGATCACCACCTGGTAGTGAGTTGGATCATATGGCGGGAGAAGATGACGGTCTCACCTGGTGGACCCAAACGTGTAGTGAGGGTTTGCTGGGAACGCCTGGCAAAATAACCCGTCAGAGAGATCTTCAACTCATACCTCCGGGAGAGCTTTAACTGCATCCCAGCTGAGGTGGGGGACATTGAGTCCGAGTGGGCCATGTTCCGCACCTCGCTTGTTGAGGTAGCTGCCTTGAGCTGTGGCCGCAAGGTTGTTGGTGCTTCTCGCGGTGGCCATCCACGAACTCTGTGGTGGACATCCCAGGTTAGGGAGGCTGTCAAGCTGAAGAAGTTCTATCGAGCCTTGTTGGCCAGTGGGACTCCGGAGGCAGCTGAGGAGTACCGGCGAGCCAAGCGGTGTGCAGCCTTGGCTGTTGCTGTTGGATGTGGGAGGAGTTTGTGAGACCTTGGATAGAGACTCTTGGTTGGCTCCAAGGAGATTCTGGCAAACCATCAGGCGGCTGAGGAGGGGAAAGCCGCACTTTACTAACACTGTGTTAAGTGAAGGTGGGGTGCTGTTGACCTCAACCAGTGATGTCATCGGGAAGTTGAAGGAATACTTCTCGGACCTTCTCAATCCCACCAGCGTGTCTTCCATGGAGGAAGCTGAGTCGGGGGACTTTGGAGTTGATCCGTCCATAACCATGGCTGAGGTCGCCAAGATAGTTAAAAGCTCTGAGGTGGCAGGGCTCCAGGAGTGGATGAGATTCACCCTGATTTCCTTAAGGCTCTGGATGTTGTGGGGCTGTCTTGGCTGACATGCCTTTGCAACGTTGCATGGACATTGGGGGCAGTGCCACTGAATTGGTAGACCGGGGTGGTGGTTCCCCTCTTCAAAAAGGGGGACCAGAGAGTGTGCTCCAATTATAGGGGCATCACTCTCCTCAGCCTCCCTGGTAAGGTCTATTCAGGGGTACTGGAGAAGCGAGTCCGATAGTTGATCGAACCTCAGATCCAGGAGGAACAATGTGGGTTCTGTCCTGGCCGTGGAAATCTGGATCAGCTCTTTTCCTTCACTAGGGTCCTTGAGGGGTCGTGGGAGTTTGCCCATCCAGTCTACATGTGTTTTTTGGACTTGGAGAAGGCATTTGACCATGTTCCTTGGCATATATTGTGGGGGGTGCTCCGTGAGTATGGGATTGGAAGCCCGTTGTTACGGGCTGTTCAGTCCTTATTCAAGCGGTGTGAGAGTTTGGTTCGCATTGCCGGCAGTAAGTCGGACCCTTCAGTGTGGGAGTTGGACTCCGCCAGGGTTGCCCGTTGTCACCTATTCTGTTCAGAACTTTTATGGACAGAATTTCTCGGAGCAGCCAGCTGGCGGAGGGTTTCCGGTTCAGTGGCCGCCGGATTCCATCTCTGTTCTTTGCAGATGATGTGGTCCTGTTGGCGTCATCGTGCCGTGATCTTCAGCTCTCACTGGAGCAGTTCGCAGCCGAGTATGAAGCGGCTGGTTATGAGAATCAGCACCTCCAAATCTGAGGCCATGTTCCTCAACCAGAAAAGGGTGGATTGCTCTCTTCAGGTCGAGAGTGAGGTTCTGCCTCAAGTGGAGGAGTTCAAGTATTTCGGGGTTTTGTTCACGAGTGAGGGAAGAATGGAGCGTGAGATTGACAGACAGATTGGTGCAGCATCTGCAGTATTGCAGACTCTGTGCCAGTCTGTTGTGGTGAAGAGAGAGCTGAGCTGTAAGGCAAAGCTCTCTGTTTACCGGTCGGTCTACGTTCCTACCCTCACCTATGATCATGAGCTCTGGGTAGTGACCGAACGAATGAGATTGCAGATACAGGCGGTTGAAATGAGTTTTCTCCGCAGGGTTGCTGGACTCTCCCTTAGAGGTGGGGTGAGAAGTTCTGTTATCTGGGAGAAACTCAGAGTAGAACCACTACCCCTCCATGTCGAGAGGAGCCAGTTGAGGTGGTTCGGGCATCTGGTAAGGATGTCCCCTGGGCGCCTCCCTAGAGAGGTGCTTCGGGCATGTCCAACTGGGAGGAGACCCCGTGGAAGACCCAGGACACGCTGGAGAGACTATGTCTTTCAGTTGGCCTGGGAACGCCTTGGAATCCTCCTAGAAGAGCTGGAAGAGGTGGCTGTGGAAACAGATGTCTGGGCCTCCCTGCCCAAGCTGCTGCCCCTGCGACCTGACTTCGGAATAAGCGGAAGCTAATGGATGGATGATTAGAAATTTGACCCAAATAATGACTGCTGGACATGAGCACCAGCTACCCCCGCAATCCCGAAAGGAAGAAGCAGGTAAAGACACTGGATGGATGGATAATTGTTATTTTTATTTCTGTCCCAACTGAGCAGCCTTAATCTGAAGCAGTGTGGTGAAGGCCTCAGATTGAAGAGGAGCTGCAAGTTGGCTCCCAGCAGAGTTGAAGGGTGGTGAAGAGTACGTGGCGTGTGATGGTAGCAGGCTGAAGGAGTGTTGAGATTGATGGGGTGGTAGCAGAGGTTTTGATGCTGAATCTGTTGAGGAACAGATGCAGATGAACTTATTGTTAGCAATCATCACATTTAAACGTGATTATGGAGTAAAACCATATTCTTCACTAGACCCAAAGAAGGTAGTTACACTGGGTGACAAGTTTCTCATGATTTTCTTTTAAGACACAATGAAGTTGACACTTTGTGGTCTGTTGCCTGATAGTGAGCATCTCTCAGAATTATCTGACAAGAAGACATTTTATTGCAATAAAACTTTGTTTAAGCCGATTGTATTTTGTGTTTTAGACAAGGTCAAAGTTCTTTGTAGGGCAGTTTCTTTAAATGGTTCACTTATAATGTAAATTGTTCTCTGAATAATTAACTCTCTCTCAGATTCAAGGCTGGGTTTTTTTATTTAATTTTTTTTAACTCATTTTTATTTACATTTTTTTAGAACAGTTGCAGTGTCAAAGTACAATATGCATACATTCTTAATGGTTAATTTTCCAGAGTCCTCGTTATCCAGTTGTGAAGGTGGTGTATTCTTTCTATAACAAGTCCGTTTTTCATTAAACTGCACCTGTCGCAGTCTTAACCTATGAGCGAGTTTTTCCATTGCAAATATCTCTCCTACAACGCACAGCCACCGCTCCACGGTCGGTGGATCCACTTTATGCCACATTCTTGTGATGGCTTTTTTACTTGCAGTTAACAATATTTTAATCAGGTATTCATCCTCTTTCTGTGTTATGTTGTGCGTCAAATTTTCCAAATAAAGTGTTTTACGTGTTGGGTATCTCATATCCTAGTATTTTTCTCAAATATCATATTTTATCCCAGTATCCTTTTATTTTTTGACAAGACCAAAATATGTGTATATGATCTACATCCACGTGTCCACAGGATCTCCAGCACGGTTGCGTGCTGGATACCACTTTCTTCTGGATCTTTGGGGTTATAAAAAATTTTACCATATTTTTCCAACTAAATTCTGTCCAGATCATGGAGCTGGTGGCCGTGCACTGCGTTTTACATATGTTTAACCATTCTTCCTCAGTTCTTTGTTCCTACAGTTCTTTTTCCCATTGATGTATAGAGAGGAAGTTTTCTTTCCTGCCATCAGACTTCTGTATAAAGTTGAGATTATTCTACATTTTTTCCCTCATAGGCCTTCCGAAATACCTCTATAATTTCACTTAGTGTGTCAGTTTTTACCTCCTTTTCATAGTAATGCCTAATTTGTAAGTAACGATAATGTTCTTGGTCTTCCAATCCAAAATTTCCCTCAAGTTCTCGAAGCTCTGCAGCTTACCCTTTTCAACCATCTTACACATCACTGTGATACCTTTATTGGCCCACTGTTTGAATCTTTTATCATGAGTACCCGATATGAACCTTGAATCCCAAGCAAACCAACTCAAGATCTTTGTTTCTTTTTCTAGTTTATATCTTTTAACAACTGTGTTCCATATTTCAATTGTAATTTTGGTTATTGAATCCTGTTGAGTTTCTAATTTACTCAATAGTATTTTGTGTGATATTTTCTTACTCTATATCTTTCATACCTATTTCTAGACTTTTCCATCTTGAGACATGTTCATCATCACACCAGCATATCAGAGGTCTGAGTTGTGCAACTTCAAAATATTCTTTGAGACTTGGTAGAGCCAACCCTCCTTTATCTTTTGGGCGCTGCAGAGTTTTGTACCTAATCCTGGGTTTTTTCCCTCTCCATATAAACCTTGAAATCCACTTGTCCCATTCTATAAATTGTTTTTGTGGGATTGACACTGGCAAGGATTGGAACAAGTGTAAATGTCTTGGTAAAATATTCATCTTAATTATCTCTATTTTTGATCCAAACCAACCCCTGACCATCTCTCCAAATTTTTCCTAATATGTTGGTTCATTTTTTTGTAGTTTGCATCATAAAGTTTATCTATTCCTTTTTAAGGCTGGGTTTTTAATAAGCATTTTATTTTTGGTTATTATCCACCACATCACGTCTGCTGATGTCTCCCGTCTTTTCAATGTGACAAAGTTAGTTTGTCCTGCACAGTATGTGTTAAAACATTGAATTTACAGGGACTTTGATATTTCCTTTCCCATTAAAAAACAGGAGAGTATTGTCTGCTCATATTTGAACTTCTGACTGTGCTTCAGGGATGAGTGGGCTGAGGCCATCCAGATGGTAGCAGAGTCTCTGGCTAAGCAGGAGGAGGAAGGCATCTTGTGCAGCCCCACCTCTCAGATCGAGAATGTCAATGAGGAGGAGATGGACACCTCCATCAGCCACTACAAACGAAAGGTACACAAGAGTTGGGGCATCCAACAAAGTAAGGTCAGGTCCTCTGGACGGATTCTTGTTGAAACGTTTCATCTTTTATACTAAAGACTTCTTCAGTCTGAGGAGCTGCAACAAACTCAGTCTTATAAATATCACCTTCTCATGGTGGATCAACCAGTTTGTTCTTAACATCCAGAACTAGCCGTTCACATGAAAAAGGAGGACCATCAGCCTAACAATTGATCGTTAGTGCCCTGATGGTACTAACAGTACCGTATAATGGTAGGGGAACACTGGATATTGCATACATACCAGCATACCATTTCATTTTGGATAGTTTTGTGTGTTTCTGTGTGGATTAAAACATTTTTTAGACATATTGTCATGTTTAAGTAATATTATTAGACATTCATTCAACCTTTATTTAAACAGATAAATCACATTGAGCCTCAAAGACTCATTTACAAGTGAGACCTGTTTGGACAGACAAAAACAGTGGTTAACTGGACACATGTAGGAGTTGGAGGCGAAAAAAATTCTATCAGACTTTTTTTTTTCCTGCCTGAGGGAAAAAACCTCTAATATTAAAAAAACACCTTGCACAAACAAGCACATATTTACGCAGACAATCTGCAGATGGGGGAGACAAGAGCGGTCAGTAATGTTCATAGATGCTCTCAAGGTCACTGTAAGAGTTCTGATAAGGATGGAATAATCAGTCAATGTCCTCCGGTGAGATCCATAAACATTCTCGAGGGATGTCCAGGAATGGCCAAGAATAACGTCTGTGAGAATCCAAGAGTCCTGAAATGATGACACAAGTTTATTCAGCTGGTTCCATCTGGTTATCAGTTAGAAATTTCTCAGGGAGGGGGTGGTGAGCGTCAGATCACATGTTCTCCAGGTGAATTCAGATAAGGTGACCTTCAAAGCCAGCCAAGGGAGCCAATTTCAGATAAACACACAGATGTTTTGGGGACAGGCAGAACTTAATGACATCTACCTTGAGTCTGTGTTGGTCGACTCGGTTCTGAAATGTCCAAATAACATGGCCACACCGATGGAACGTGACTGAGTAAAATCTCCAAGATCTGATCCATTCTGCCCAAAGCATTTGAGTCTGGGTACTCGAGACACGAACCAAGCCATAATAAAGGCAAGCAGCGTGATCGGGTCCAAATTTGCTGCTGATTACTTCCTTGATTGTAGATAAAACCAGCAACCAGCCGAATCCAAAAAGCAGGAACCAGTTATCGTAAATCCAATTAAATATGCGTCCTTAAAATCCACAGATGGCAGCAGAGATAGACACATCATCAAGTCTTCCAGCCGATGAGATATCCAGCTGCGTGCGTGCCAACAGGGCAAGTAGGCTCACCTAAAGCCTGTCTTCTCTTCGAAGAAATGTTGTAAATTGAGTTGAGGGACCAACTGGTCAAAACAAGTCCATAATTAAGGTTCAGAAGATATGAAGACAGAGCAGCAAAACGGAGAGGGAGGGGAGAAGCATCTGATCTCGGCGAGAGCAAGTGGTGAAGTGACATGACAATATAAAGTAAATTTTTGGAAGACAGTGTTCTATATGGACAAGTTCTTAAGTTTAGTCTGATGGGAAAAATGTTTTTACTCCTAATTAAACTAAATGTTGGAGAACAATACCAAATAAAACATTCATTGTGTGTTTTCTCTTGAATTCTGTGCAGACAATGAATGACTTCGACTATCTGAAGCTTCTGGGCAAAGGCACTTTTGGAAAAGTCATTCTGGTGAGGGAGAAGGCGAGCGGCACCTACTACGCCATGAAGATACTGAAGAAGGAAGTCATCATAGCCAAGGTGCTCATCCTGATTATAAAACCATAGTTAGGCTTTGATTGGGGAGCAGAAACATTCTTATTTACCGTAATTGTCGGGCTTTAGAACGCACATGTCTCCAAGCCGTACTTATTAAATATAAGATCAATCATAATTTTGTTCATAAATAAGACGCTCCAGTTATTTAGCCGCGGGCATCCACTGTTCGTCAGGAACTGTGCCGCCAGACTGTGTGCAGATTTCTTGTTGTAGTACAAGAATCAGCCAGCAGGTGGTGTTTCACAGAATATAGCTTGCTTTAAACTCACACTCAGACTGCAAGATCATCACGAGTCTTCATGAAGCTTCGCTGTCCCACTCATGGTTACAACCATTACACCTTCAACATGAACACAATAACTTTCCAAGCATGATCACTGGACAGAACAGTGCCAAACACCTATTTAACTGAAATTATTTAAAATGATTTACCAGTAAATTTACCCAGTCTTATCAAGGTCATGTGACCGGAGCTCAAATAGTACTGGTAAAATGTGGTAAATATTCATTAAATTAGTACCATTGATTTTTATTGGTAAACACTTTTGTTAACAAGTGTTTTTAAGTGTACTTTGTAAATAAAATTGATGTGATTTCTCCTCAGCAGAGCTCATACGAGCAGGACAGAGGACGGGGGAACAGCCCCTCCCGTTGCCTCCTTCATAATGCCCCTGTTTAAGCTTAAATGAGATACTGGTATTGAAACGCATATTTACCGTACACAGAAATATTTTTTTAACTTTTATTTAAATATGTACCAGTCTTTACTGACTGCTTTCAAAATAAATCTGACCACTTGTCCACTGTTGAGCCATCATGGACGGAAGGGGAGGAGGAAAGACTCCTGTTTCTCTTCTTGTTCAGACGTGACTTTAAAATGAGATCACGGTATTTAAACTCATATTTACCCACACAGAAAAAAATTAAAAACTTTTATTAAAACATGTACCAGACTTTACTGGTTTGCGTCTGCAATCCTGACCATCAACATGTTGATGCAGAGCTCACGGGCTGCAGCGGTTTCCTCCTCGACAGCTGATCGATGAAAGCTCCGTGCGTTTTCCATCATCGCTGAACAGATGAACAGGTCTGTGCATGAAGTGCAAAATACGATAAACACGGGAGCTATCTTAAGAAATGAATTCACGTCTATCTTGGGGATGATCCTCAAGAGTACCTCGTTGGTCATTCAGGTTAGACTTCTGGTCACATGATGACAGAGTGGGTGGAGTTATGGTGTGAAGTTGAACCAGTGAGCAAAAGGCCGTGTACCCTGAGGACATCCTCTCTGTTGCAAACGCCTGCGTCCATGAGGGGAACGTTGGTCAGAGGCAGGAAGCTACTGAGGGACAGCAGGAAGTCTTTCAAAATAAAATATAAAAATATAAATTTTGAAAATTAGGAAAAAATACATAAATAAGACGCTCCTGCATTTAAACCACGGGGTACAAACTGTGAGACAAAAGTAGCGACTCGTAGAACGGCAATTACGGTACTCATATTTTATATAATTTCTGCTCCTAAATCTAAAAATAGCAGCTTGAAAACTAATAGTTTAACTTGAAAAGGGCTGGGGTTGCACATATTTTCCTCCAAGTACCTGTACAGTACTCTGTCTCCTAACTACTCACTTTTCTTTGTTGTTTTCAACCCAGGATGAAGTTGCTCACACACTCACAGAAAGTAGGGTATTAAAAAACACTCGGCATCCTTTCTTAACTGTAAGTACGATTGTAGATCCTGTTCAATATCAAGTCCATGCAGCTGTTCTGTTTGTGTAGTGCAAATAAACTGTGGCCATAAAGACTGTGGGGGGTGTAGAGAGTTCTCTGAACTCAGACTGGCATTTTGTGTTGCAGTCCCTGAAGTACTCGTTTCAGACTAAAGATCGGCTTTGCTTCGTTATGGAATACGTCAATGGAGGGGAGGTGAGTGTCCGCTGAAAGCTTTGGGGTCAGATACCTGGTTTAATATATGTTGCTATATTCTTGTAGGTTATTTTAAGATGCTGTATGTTGGTGAGCGTAAAACTGGTCCTAAAGCCTCTGCAGAGTAAATGTTCTTCAGTTTTTTATTAAAGTTTAAAAGAAAATGTCTTCATTAAACAAGACCAGTAAAAGATGTGAGTTAAACTTAAAGGGATAGTTGAGACATTTTGAAGTGGCTCTCTGCTTGTAGTAATCTCTTTAAACAACCTGTTTGGAGACATATTTGAATTCTGGCAGGACTGAAGAGCTAATGGCTAGTCTGAGTCAAGCTGAGACCACAGTGGATTGCTGCTGTCTGAATCTTCCAGTTTCTAAATTTCACAGCGGTTCATTTGAATTTCTTGTTTGAACCTTTTTCACAGCCGTCAGTTTCACGTTAGGAGGTTATCTGTGCACAGTTCTGCAGTTATTTACAAGCACACGTAGTACTTCCAGTGCATCTTGGGCTTACTTCCTGCAGGAGTTTTATCATGTTTTTACCAAAAGGATCTTGGGATACAGAAGTGATGTAAAGGTTTAAATTGAAATCAGTGACATTTTGAAGATCAACCATTATGAGCTCGTCAATACGCGGTCCGAGCCAACGTTAGACCTCTAGTCTCCAAAATATCTCAGGGGTTTGTTCAAACACCAACTTTTAACCCACTGTCAGTGTCACAGTAATTGGTTATATTGGCAGAAATATTAATAAAATCCTACAGGAAGTGACCCCAGGCTGCAGTGGAGGTGCTGCTGCTCTTCTTGTGTCCAAGTATTTTAGTAAAGTTTTAGCATTTGCAAATATTTTAGAAGATCAGTAGACCTTTTTGTTCTTGGCCGAGTTCCAACTAGCCACTAGCTCGTCAGTCTTGTAAGAGTAAACTCAACAAGCCATCTAAAACTAGTAAGATATTAGTTTTTATTACTTTTAACCAGGAACCCTCATTAACATTTCTGAACTATCCTTTTAATCGGTGAGTCAATCGATATAGTGTATTTTTATTATTATATGAAATAATTAATCAGAATAAATTAAATATTTGTTTTTTCAAGTCTTTAAAACTATTTGCATTTTTTTAGCATATGAATGAAAGATTTTCACTGTCACAAAATAATTTTCTCGTTTGCTTTAAGCTTCATATGAGTCATTCTACAGATGTTTTTCCTTTGAATGAGATTTAATCCCATCTCAGTTAATTTGGGCTTTGTTCACTTAAAATTAGAGCCCGACAGATATGAACATTTTGACTACCGCCAAAATTTATATACCAATACTGGGACGGAAAGGCAACCACTGATGACCCATAACATGGCCGAAAATCTTTTAGCTTTGTCCACCGCCAAGAATCTATGAAAACATGGAGTGGAGCGGGGCTCGTTTATTGAGCAGCTGTTAGCAACCATGAAGCTAAGCTAATCACATCCACGCTATATGTAGTCCCACAGTAGGTTTACCAGTGGTGCACTGGTCATAAAACCAGTTCCTAATGGGCATGCATGTTTTCTATCCTCCACTATTCATAAAGTTATCAAGTGTGTTACAAAAATATAGATTAGAGAAACGCGTTCCTTGTTCAACGTTTGAACAGTCAGTCACGTTTGATGAAGGTCTAATTAGTACTGACCACAGTAGAGGGTTTTTTTGTAGAGAACTTTAGATTTCAGACAAACGATGCATTTCATTGAGTACAACAAGAATAACGTTACTAACACTGGTATTTATTTACCGCTACATTAAATTGATTGTTCTGATAAATGAAAAAAGTTAAGTCTGGTCCTCTAAAAAACAAAACAAACAAATAAAAGTAAAAACACTGAATACAGCACCTCAGACTGAGGAAGTCTTTCGGATGAGAGATGAAACGTTTCTACTTTTTTAAATTTAGTTTGTTTTGTTTTTTAGAGGACCAGACTGAACTTTTTTAGATTTTTCTACCTGGATTATTGAGCAGCATCAGGATGTTCTGGATAAAGTTTTACAAGGCAGTAACATATCAAGGTCAAGGTTTCTTTATTGTCATTCACATCATATGTGGTACATGTGGCGGAATGAAATTGTGCACACAGGGTCCCAGTTACATCCAGCAAAAATATAAAATGTAAAGAAAAACAGTTGTAAGATCAAAGATATAATCTAAGAATACGCTAAGCACTAGTATGCTATGCTAGGTTATCTCAACATTAGCTTGCTAACTTGAGAGGCACGTAGCTATTGACAAGCGGGTTGGAGGACTGAAGAGAATTTATTATTGTTAATTTGTTTTACAGATCATTTAAAATCAACTTACCAAGCTCTGTTCAGTAAAATACACCACACAGTATGGCTCACTGCTTCGTGTGTGCCGAATGTGAAAGTGAAACTTAAAGCCATGACTTGAAAGTAGTCCTCATGCGCCCTCTGCTGGATACATTGTACAATTACGGCTGGTTCCTGCATTTTTTTTAAGTCAAAGTTTCTTTATTTGTCATTCGCACCACAGTTGGTACATGTGATGGAATGAAACTGTGCACACAGGGTCTCAGTTACATCCAACAAAAGTATAAAATGTAAAAAAAAACGGTAATAAGATCAAACATTTGAACCAAGAAATACACTAAATAAGAATATGCTAAACACTAGTGCAAAAACACTACGCTGAACAACAGCAGCCGGGGTGAAAATCAAAAGTATTTACAGTATATTGGAGCATAATGGGACAATTATCACCGATGCTGATAGGTCTCCAAACGTCTATATCGGCCTAAATTATTGGCCCTTCTGATATATCGGTCAGGCTCTACTTAAAATCTCGAGCAGCGTTTTTTGCTTATGTTTGAACTTGTCATTAAGTGAATAAGGGTGTGATTTAGTTTAAGGGTGTAAACTTTTGTTTGCTCCTTGCAGCTGTTTTTCCACTTGTCAAGAGAAAGAGTCTTTTCAGAGGACCGCACTCGTTTCTATGGCGGCGAGATCGTTTCGGCTTTAGATTACCTACATTCTGCCAAAATTGTCTACCGTGATCTGAAGGTAAGAGTGCTCCGACATTCAGGATACGCTGAGGCCAGCTTTTATGTCCTGACGTGAAGGCCGAAGCACCAAACTGGAAAACAAAAGGTCCTGACGTTTGCTTTTCCTGTTGCTCTCCCCATCAGCTGGAGAACCTGATGTTGGACAAAGACGGACACATAAAGATCACAGACTTTGGCTTGTGTAAGGAGGGCATCACCGACACTGCCACCATGAAGACTTTCTGTGGGACACCGGAGTACCTGGCTCCTGAGGTCAGAACACAGGAGGGGGAGATCTGCTCTCCTGCTTTTAGAAGTTAATAAGCATTTGTTGTGGAGTTTAAATATCATATGTTCAAATTTATACTTCAGCTGTTGTCCGGTTTGGTTCTGAATGATGAAGCTGGAACCCAGAGCAGGTTTTCTGTGGAAGTATCTCACAGAGGCAGGTCTTTAATGGAATGTTTTTGTACAGTTGAGATGGACGTCACCAACTGGTCTCACTTGTTCTAATGTGGCTGTAATTGGAAGACTCTAAGGTTTTGAGAGGATTAAGGAGGACACCATGTATGTCAGGTCCAGATAAGATGAGCAGCCTGATGTGATTGTTGTGATGATGTTATCTCAGACGTTAACATCTACACTGACCACATGAGATGCTCCAGTGTTTGTCAGCAGCATATCTTAATTAAACCAAGATCGGAACATGTTACTGTAACGGGCGTTTGATTCTCCAGCCAAAGCCCAGAAACCAGCTCTCATTGATGTAGTTGCTTGATGCAAATCACAATTATTTTGTTCTCATACTAACTTCAGCCTCCCCTTCTTGACACAAGGTGTGGTCTGAACCTTTACCCCACAGGGCTTTACACAAAGTATCGTGTGATTGGTCAGAAGTTTGTTGTTGTGTTTGTTTATACAAAAACGTTTTTGGACAGCAGTTTAGTCATTTTGCTTCAACTAATGTATTTCTAGAAGCCAGCTGTCGTACAACAACATGGACAGTTTTGAGGAGCCGTTGGCCGAGGCAGTAAGAAAATCCATCCACCTGTACGACTCTTCCAGATAGAGCTATAAAGACGGTCAAATGGACAGAAACTCCTGGATGGAGGTTGCACAGACATGTACACAGAGGAGGCCGTCTTCTTGAATTGAACCTAGCAGCGGCTCGGTTCAATTCAATTCAGTTTATTTATAAAGCACCAAATCACAACAAAGTTGTCTCAGGGACTTTACAGGAACATTCACATAAAAGTCAATTAGTAAAGTTCTCTACCTAAGAATCGAGCAGACAAGTTGAATCTTGGCTTCGTTGCAGTCTACCATCCTGAGCAAGCACAGTGGAGACAGTGGAAAGAAAAACTCCCTTTAACAGGAAGAAACCTCCAGCAGAACCAGCTCAGGACAAGAGATCATCTGCTTTGACCGGCTGGTTGAGAGGACAGGAAGGAGAGACAGACGAACACAGAATGGTAGGTCCAGGTATAGGTCCAGGTCCAGGTATAGGTCCAGATATAGGTCCAGGTCCAGGTATAGGTCCAGGTCCAGATATAGGTCCAGGTCCATGTATAGGTCCAGGTCCAGATATAGGTCCAGGTATAGGTCCAGGTCCAGATATAGGTCCAGGTCCAGGTATAGGTCCAGGTCCAGATATAGGTCCAGGTCCAGGTATAGGTCCAGGTGTACCTGAAAGACAAAACCACATGTTAGGATAGAAAAAACAATTACAAATACAAAACAGGTTGAGCAGAGTAAGTAAAGACAGCAGCAGAGTGAAAAGTGTGGTCAGTTTGTCCTCCAGCAGTCTAAGCCTATAGCAGCATAACTAAGGGACAGCTCAGGAAACCCAAGCCGACCCTAACTATAGGATTTATCAAAAAGGAAAGTCTTAATCCTAGTTTTAAACTGGACAATGTGTCAGCCTCACGGACAGAAACTGGAAGTTGGTTCCACAAGAGAGGAGCCTGAGAACTGAAAGATCTTCCTCCATTCTGTTTTTGTAAACTCTAGGAACCACAAGTAAACCTGCAGCCTGAGAGTGAAGTGCTCTGTTAGGAAAATATGGAACAATAAGATCTGTAATATAAGATGGAGCTAGGTTGTTGAGAGCTTTGTAGGTTAGAAGTAAGATTTTGAATTCTATTCTGGATTTGACAGGGAGCCAATGGAGAGAAACTAAAACTGGAGAGATATGATCTCTCCCAGTAACTCCAGTTAAGACTCTGGCAGCAGCATTTTGGATCAACTCAAGACGTTTTAAAGAAGTATTTGGACACCCAGATAATAAACCATTGCAATAGTCCAGTCTAGACGTGACAAATGCATGGACCAGTTTTTCTGCATCATCTTTAGATCAGATGTTTCTAATGTTAGTGATATTACGCAGGTGGAGGAAGGAGGTTCTAGTAACGTTTTTAATGTGGGGGATAAAAGACATGTCCTGATCAAAAATAACACCAAGATTTTTAACATTAGAGCTGGAGGACAGATTAATGCATCTAAGGAGGGAGAAAGACTGAAAAATAATAGATTTAAATGTAGCATTAATAATCTTATTATCAAACTTACTATCTAATAAATTATAATTTTCTATTTTGAGATTAGGTAGTGTTGGTTTGACTACTGAAACTAGCATAGTGTTGTATATTGACTCTCTTAAATCCAGTGGAATGGCCTTACAGACTTGCCGGTATTCTTTTTGTGTACAATTTAAATTATATTTCTTTAAGAAGGACATAAAATCTAACACGTTGCTACCTGAGTCTTAACAGTTCAGATACGAACAGAATACCACACTAAAACCAATTTATTTTAAATATCGACTTTCTGTTAACAGTTATCACTCTATTGTTCCATAAGATTGACATATGGGGAGAAAAGTTCTGGGTCTACATCATCTTCCAGAAGGAAAGAACTTGTTTGTGGAAACTAGCTAATTTTATAGGAATTTTACTAATTTCAAAGTCACATTTTAATACAAATTCAATTCCTCCTAGCTGTTTAAATAGAGATCAGGGTCTATGAAACCACATGGAATTAGATTGTGTTAAACACGCTTTAAGCCAGTTTATGTTGAAGGTTCCTACAAGTGATTCAAAGTCCAGGGCTTTAACACCACCTTTATTATAATCACCAACAAGTTGAGATCTTTTAATACAATGGTTTTATTTTTCCACAGGAAGTGAAATATTATAGAGTTGGCTTTCTTGATGTTTTGAGGAGAAACATACAGAGAATGGCATGGGTAAATTAATTTAGAAAGACCTTCAGCTTTGGAGAGAATAACTACCAAATATAGTCCTGTCTCTGGTTAGCCAACGACCAAGAGATCTTTATGTTCGAGATACAATCAGAAATGTTAGTCTTCTCTTTGGATCATGTTCTTGGATATAGCTGTTCCTAAATATTTCACTTCTGATTTTACTCTTACTGAAGCTATAATAGAATCAGAACATGGGTGAATAGGTAATATTTCACATTTATCAATATTCAGACATAGTCCTGAAGCCTGGGGAAAAAGAAGAGATAAGAGCTTTGGCTGTCATAGATTTATCCTTTAAAAACAGGAGTGTATCATCTGCAGATTGGCTGATTTTGAACTCCCTATCAAAGATAGTTATGCCTTGTAAGTTGGGGTCGTTTAGGATCGTTAGGGCCAGTAAATGAGTGGTCAATAGGATCGTTAGGGCCAGTGAATGAGTGGTCAATAGGATCATTAGGGCCAGTGAATGAGTGGTCAATAAGATCATTAGGGCCAGTAAATGAGTGGTCAATAGGATCATTAGGGCCAGTAAATGAGTGGTCAATAGGATCATTAGGGCCAGTGAATGAGTGGTCAATAGGATCATTAGGGCCAGTAAATGAGTGGTCAATAGGATCATTAGGGCCAGTGAATGAGTGGTCAATAGGATGATTAGAGCCAGTGAATGAGTGGTCAATAGGATCATTAGGGCCAGTGAATGAGTGGTCAATAGGATCATTAGAGCCAGTGAATGAGTGGTCAATAAGATCATTAGGGCCAGTGAATGAGTGGTCAATAGGATCATTAGGGCCAGTGAATGAGTGGTCAATAGGATCATTAGGGCCAGTGAATGAGTGGTCAATAAGATCATTAGGGCCAGTGAATGAGTGGTCAATATGAATAATTTTGGGGAGATTGGGCATCCCTGTCGAATACCTCGCTTCACTTCAAACTTGTTGGTCATTCCAGGATTAAGGGAGACAGAACTACAAATATTTGTGTAAAACATTTCAACTACTTTGCAGAAGTTTTTCCCAAAGCCCAAGTGATGTAAGGTTTTAAGCAAAACAGGATGTTCCACTGTATCCAAAGCTTTATAAAAATCTAGAAATAGAATCAAGCTTTCAGTCACGATAATCAAGCACGTCAAGAATTAGTCAAATATTGTTGTGTATATTTCTTCCTTTTATAAAAGCTGACTGACACTCATCAATTCTAAGAGTTAAACATTCATTTAAGTGGTTTGCATAATCAATCAACCTTTATTTCTACAGGTAAATCCCATTGAGCCTCGAGGACTCATTTACAAGAGAGACCTGATTTCAACAAAGAAAGATGACAACAATGGACAACAATAAACAATTATAAAAAGTCATACTACAGTTTTTTTTTTTTTTTTTTTACAAATAAACATAAACATGAGCCAATAATAATTTATAATCATTGCACAGAAGAGTTCTAGGTCTCCAATTGTCCAGCAGTAATTTGTCTTTCTTGGGTTTTGGGATTAAAGTGATGAGACCATGTTTCATTGTGAGGGAAAGATTTGTTAAAGAGATACATTGTTGGAAGACCTTGTAGAGCATTACTCTAATATTCCAGAAATATGAGTAGAATCCTACAGTTAGCCCATCAATACCTGGACACTTACCTCTAGTCATTTGTTTCATTGCTTTGTTCAACTCATCAATCCTAAAGTCACCCTCGGTAAGGGCTTTCAAATTCTTATCTATTGTCTAATTTAAACTTTAATTTTTTCAAAAAAGGCAGAGCCATTTTCCTCTGAATAGTGTGATTTATACAAGTTAGTGTAGAACTGAAATAGTTCCTCATTACTTGGTCCAGATCTTCAGTCATAACACTGTTAATAGTTAGTTTTAAAATTTTTCTTTTTAGTTTGTCTCTGTTTTTCTAAATTAAAGAAGTAGGAAGAGTTTTTCTCCCCCTCTTCAATCCACCGAGCTCTAGAACAAAGGCGCCGTTAACTTTGTCTAAAACCAGTTTGTCCAGTTGAGATCGTAAATTGTTCTATTTGATCCTCCATTGTTAAATTCTGTTGGCAGCATATTTTATTCATGCCCTCAATAATGTTTTCTTGTTCATATCTTTCCTGTTTGGTGGAGGATTTACTGATTTGGATTGCCACATGTTTAACTTTGAATTTGAACCATTCCCATTTGCTCAAACGTGTCATTTCCAACTGGTCAGTTTCTTCCAGTAAAAGTTTTACTTCATTACAAAAACTGTCATTTTGTAAAAAAATTATTATTGAATTTCCAGATTACGGTTTGAAGTCTTTTTTTGGTTAAGGAAATGGACAAGGAAATTGCACAATGATCAGTTAGAGGAGATGCTGAGATTTCACACTTTTCAATATCATGGATTAGATTATTAGAGATTAAGCAGTAGTCTATTCTCAAACACTGACCATTCCTGGAGGAATTAAAGCAAGTATACTGAGTTGCAGTGAGATTTTTCAGTCTCCAATAATCACACAGACTGAGTTTGGTGAGCAAATTAAGAATATTAGTATCAAAGATATGATATGAAGCTCTAGAAGGGAAACGGTCTTGAGAACAGTCAGGAACTACGTCCACCCACAATAATCTGGTCAGCTGAACAGCTGAGTTTCCATTGTTCCAATTTTTCACATAGAAAAGTTAAAGTTTTTTGTTTTGAGTTCTGTTATAACCATACAAACATAACAGAATATAATTTGAACCATTTCCACTACCACCATTATCCATTGACCATCAGAATCCTTTTTATAATCTATAATATTACCAGGAAACCTATTATATAAAATCATCCCTCCTGCAGGATGAGATTAAACATGGCTACATAAAACACAAGCTCCCTCTGTACTTTCAGAGTTTGGTGTCAGCCTCTGCTGAACGAGTCTCTTGTAGAAAAACACAAGTTGCCTTTTGCTCCTTACAGAAAATAAAATTACTTTACGTTTTACATCATTTTTAGCCCCCTAACATTTAAAGAAATATAAGATAGTATGAAACAAAGTTGTTTTTCCCTCTCCTAAATTAAATGAAATTTACAAAGAAACGCAGGAAGGAGCAGCTGTGTCCTGAATAGAAAGGAAACGAGTAATAACCTTTAACAACCAGCAACATAAACAGATTGAACTCCTGACAACTGACGTCAGGCACACCTGATCATCAGTTCAGATCCACTCTGGTTGTCAGTCAGAGCACAACTTCCTTCAGAAATGCTCTTTCTCTTTATTTCTGGCTTCTTGGACCAGCGGCCACAGTTTGGCTCCAGCCTCCCGATCTTCTCTGGAGAAGTCGTCTTTGAATCGAATGTTCATGTCGTTGCAAACTCTCACGTCTCTCGGTTTCTTCCAAACTTCATCCCTGATCGTTCTCATCCTGAACTGAACGATTACTCTCGGGGTCATGGAGGACGCAGCACTTCCTCTTCCCCAGTGCCGGCAGCATCTTTCATCCTATCCACAGAAATAGGAACACCTCTGGTGAGGATCCCGACGACGTCTCTCATGTCTGCTTCATGTTTTCTGTCAGACCAGTCGGCCTCAGATTCCACTTCCTTTTACAGCGTGATCCTCACAAAGGCTGCGCAGGGATTTAGTTTCTTTTTGCAGCTCCTCCATCTTCACCTGAAGCTCCGCCAGTCCTTCTTTATTTCTATTTATCTCTGCAGCGTTGGCATCAATACGCTTATCCAACTTTTTCAGGAGCGCTGTCTGTTCATCCATTTGTTGCGATGAGACGTTGACTGTTTTGAGGATCGCGGCGGCGGCGGCCGTGTTCTCCTCCTCCGTGTTCTGAGCTTCTGTCCCTCTCTTTTTCTTGGGGTTTGGACTTTTAGTGGGTGTGTGGGCCCAGTTGATGTTTTCTTCTTTAGAGCTCGTTTGAATAACTTCCAAGTCCACAAGGTCTTCCTCGTCACACGCCTCTTTATGTGCTGACAAGTTGTGTTCGTGATCCATCATGTTTGAAATCAAACGTTCGTAAAAGAAACGATGAAAGTGTGGTGAAATCAATTGTCTGGTTTCTTGGTTGTTATTTATTTGGTCTGTAAATTCTGGGTTATTATTGAAAAAAACACATTTTCAGGACTAAAACTAGAAAAAAATCTGGAGCCTGCAAAAGCAGTTGCTACTCATTCTGCCATCGTGGTTCCTTCTCCGGCGTGCAGGAGCTACTTGAGGAGGAAAGAGGAAATGGCATGTACTTTATTTAAAAATATCAGGGGGAGGACATCCACACACCCTTACCAGTGTGTCTCCCCCACATTAGAAATGCTTCCGACACCAATAGGAACAAGAAAAATAAAGTCGGGACAAAAACATGATGCAATCAAAACGAGACGGGAATGATGCAGAAAACATTGTAGTTTTATAATCAAGTGTTCTTTCAGTGTCCGTCAGTGAGTTATGTCTATCAGACGATGATGTCACCGACCAAATCAAGTGAATGTTATTAATGAAATGTTCTTTGACATAAAAGATATACCAATGAATTAAATTAGGTGTGAACTGTTTATTGGACACCTTTCTGCATCCGTGTAATTTCTGGTGTTTTTTAATTGTAGTGTAGCTGCAGCTGCTAAGAGTGCACGTAAAGAATATAGGCTTGTGAGGATATTCACATTTCTATCCAAATGTTCTTAAACACACAGTCATGACCATTTAAACTACAGCTCTGATCATTCAATGTTTACTTCAAATTAAAATGCTCGGACTGTTTGTGTAAATCAAAATGAAATGAAAGTACATTTTCAAACGATCATTTTTATATGTAACATGTACAATTAAAATTAAAATGCCAACGTTTGATCAGCACGTAGCTGGAGGGCACTGACTGACCTTGAAGTAGGTTTATAATTTTATATTAATAATTCAGCGGTCATTTCAAACGGTACAGCCCTGAGGAGGATAACGAGGACGCACAAACGTTGTTCCATCTGGTTTTACTCTTTGTCATATCAAACATCTGGGAGTAAACATCTGGAGCCTCATACAGAGGTCAGCCTTTATTAACCTTTGTGAAGCTGAAACACTGACTTTCAGATAACTGGTTCCTTCGTACTGGCCTCTGGACATCAAACCATTAGCTGTTTGTTCCTGTCCCTCAAGTGTACACACAGAAGAACTTGTTACCTGCTGGAGATGCACGTGGTGGTTCAGGCTTTGTACAGTGTTGGATAAAACATTCATCTTATTTCCTCCAAGAAGCCACACTGGAGGACGCAAGAAGATTTTTAACTGGTTTTACTTGCAAGGGCAGACTTTCTCAACTGGTTACACACATGTACTGACGTTCTGCATGCACGGAGCCCGGTCATGAGAATCTGCCACGGGCAGTGTGCGAGAATAGTTTTTATACACTTCTCGGCTCACAGGCAGACAGATGACCTCAGCCACACTGCTGTACATGCAGGATCAAATGGTAACTCAAACACATGGTTCATGGGCACTTCAACAACGATAAGCCTTGACTAAAACTCCCCTGACATTCAAGCTGCATGAAAAATGCTCCCCAGTCTGTTCACGGGGCTTTAAAGAGTTCAGCTGCTTATTTTCACTGTATCTCATTGTATATTGTTTTTTGTTATTCTGTTGTATCAATAACTTTCAGCAAAAATATATATATTTAATCACTTCCAGACTTCTCTGGTTGAGTTGAACTGCAAACATCAGAGGAGTAAAGTGTCTGCATGGTGTATTGTCAGGTTCTGGAGGACAACGACTACGGGCGGGCAGTGGACTGGTGGGGTTTGGGCGTGGTGACGTACGAGATGATGTGCGGCCGCCTGCCCTTCTACAACCAGGACCACGAGAAACTGTTTGAGCTCATCCTCATGGAGGAGATCAAGTTCCCACGGACCCTGTCGGCCGACGCCAAGTCCCTGCTGTCAGGGCTGCTAATCAAGGACCCCAACAAACGGTACACACACACACACACACACACACACGCTGAAGATGGATACTATGGTCAAATCCCTTAAAAGTCAGAACTGCCTTCACCGTTTGCGTTTTAATTTATTTGAGAAGAGGATGTGTGATGGTGACCATTTTCTGGTAGCAACAGTTACTTCAGTGTAATTTAATGAATTTGTCATGAAACAATACGAGGAACTTTAAAATTGTGTGTAAATTAGGATTACTTGCATAAAATAGTCTAAGTGAAAGATGTTGGCTTTAAATGTTTTTGTTTTTTACCAGGAGTTTTTTAGGCTCTTCAGTCTTATCTTTAATTATTTTGAAGTGACTTGAGCCTTTAATCAGCATTTCTCCTTTAAAACTAAATGATAAGAGGGTTTCAGGTTTTGCCATCTGTAAAACAGCAGCTTTCTGATGTGTTGCTTTGGGACTATTTATCTGTGTAATGATGATAATGAGTAATGATTAGAAAGTGAGAGTGCTCTCAGGACAGATCTGTGATGCATTAAGATCTTAGGCCACATTTGTTGATAACACTTGTGAACACACAACTGTTTGAGTGTATGTGTGTCCTGATCCATATTACAGGACCACCTTTCCCCTCATGTATGTGTGTGGTAGACTGACCAGGATGTTTTCCAGGTTTTCAGAAAGAGTACGTACTTTCTATCCACCTTATTCCTAGTCCCCATGCTGCTTTGCATGAAATATGAGTGTAACTTCTGGTGTGGACCAGAACCGGTGTTTGTTTCTGTGTGAACAGTACGAGCTAATGTAGTTTCTCTGAGCATTGTGGATTCAATTTAAACATGTAGGGACACCACCTGTCAGAGCTCAAACAGGACAATATGATCATACTGCTGCAGACGAGGGTTGGAGGACGAGCTGAAGAAGTGGCTGCAGATTACATCTACTAGCATATTTAGCTTCATCTACTAGCATATTTTCTCTACATCTACTAGCATATTTAGCTTCATCTACTAGCATATTTTCTCTACATCTACTAGCATATTTAGCTTCATCTACTAGCATATTTAGTTTCATCTACTAGCATATTTAGCTTCATCTACTAGCATATTTTCTCTACATCTAGTAGCATATTTAGCTTCATCTACTAGCATATTTAGCTTCATCTACTAGCATATTTTCTCTACATCTACTAGCATATTTAACTTCATCTACTAGCATATTTAGCTTCATCTACTAGCATATTTAGCTTCATCTACTAGCATATTTAGCTTC